TTTGGGAATTTCAGGCAAAAGAGTGAAAGTGGGTCATTTGAGTGCTTAAAGTGGTCTACGGTGCGTATGAGGAATATATTGCCATCATTATTAATCATACGCAGGGGAGAACCATTAAATCGTTGTAGCATAAACCGCATTTTATCAAATTCAAAATATATCAAAAATTATTACATTTTTCTGGCATATATAAACAAAATAAGAATTTTTTTCCAGAATATTTTGAAGAGGCGCTCAATTTGGGCGTATGAGTTGTTAAAAAAGACTATGGTTCATTTATGGAATATTTTGCACCCATCTATGCTTATTTGCAAGGAAGACCAGACATATATTCAAAACTTATCGAAACTGACAAATTAATTTTTTCTTCAAAAATAACAATTTAATTTGAGAATTTTTTTTTGCAGACTAGTGCAGATAAAATGCCAGAGTAGTTAGAAATATACTATGGTGCGTAAAGTTTAAGGAGGAGGAGGATTTTAGTTAAGCCTTTACAAAACGAACCCACATCAAATTTTTCCGAACAAAACTATTTCAACGTCTCCATATGTAAAGCCCAGGATTTCAGTTCTATTCTTTCACCTAATACCAAAAAGTAGTGGTGCTATTTACTAAAAATAAATATAGTCCACATTTCAAAAACAATCTCCATATTTCAATTTCAGATACCAACCTAGACCTCAATATCAACCTTAAGGATTCCCGCCATCAAATATGCAATTTAGTACTGTTCGTACAAATATAGGACGCATTTTTAAACCGCCGCAAAACTTCTGAGACAGCTACCATCAGTATTCTTAATAACATATTTTTCGTATAAACACTTAATGGCGTTCTTAGATGGCGCACTTCTCACATTTTTTAATGTTTTAAAAGCACGTTGAGTTTTCACAATTGGCTTCTTCTGTTGAATGTAAATTTCAACTATTTCAGAGCGCTAGCGTGGCGTGTATTGGTTCATACTAAAAATCTGCTTGGACTGACGCTTCAAACGCTGTATGTCATTAAACGATGTGACATCTCTGTCAAAAGTTATGGCGTTGCCAGATGGGTCCGTCGAATATGGGCAACCCTGTATTTGCAAAATATTAACAAACGTGGGTTTTAAAAAGAAAAATATTTTTGGAAAATATCAACAAACGTGGATTTTTTAAAGAATATTTTTGCAAAGCATCACAAAACGTGCATTTTTTAAAGAATATTTTTTCAAAGTATCACCAAACGTGAATTTTTTAAAAAAATATTTTTTCAAAGTATCACCAAATGTGGATTTTTAAAAAAATATTTTTTCAAAGTATCACCAAACGTGGATTTTTTGAAAAATATTTTTTCAAAGTATCACCAAACGTGGATTTTTTTAAAAAAAATATTTTTTCGAAGTCTCAACAAACTTGGATTTTTTAAAAAATATTTTTTTCAAAGTATCACCAAACGTGGATTTAAAAAAAAAATAAAATAAATATATTTTTAAATTATCAACAATCAAGGATTTTTAAAAATATATTTTTAAAATATCAACAATCAAGGACTTTTAAAAATATTTTTTTAAAATATCAACAATCAAGGATTTTTAAAAATATTTTTTCAAAGTATCATCAAACGTGGATTTAAAAATAAAAAAAAAAAAAAATAAAAAAATATTTTTTTAAAATATCAACAATCAAGGATTTTTAAAAATATTTTTTCAAAATATCATCAATCAAGGATGTTTCGAAAAATATGTTTTCAAAATATCAATAAAGTGGACTTTTTAAAAAATATTTTTTTCGAAATATCACCAAACGTGGATTTTTAAAAAATATTTTTTCCAAATATCTCCAAACGTGGATTTTTTAGAAAATATTTTTTCCAAATTTCAACAAACGTGTACTTTTTAAAAAATATTTTTTCAAAATATCAACAACCGTGGACTTTTTATAAAATATTTTTTTTCGAAGTTTCAACAGGTATGAATTTTTAAAAAATATAAGTTCGAAGTATCAACTAACGTGGATTATTTAAAAAAAATTTTTTTTGAAGGACTTTTTAAAAAATATTTTTTTCAAAGCATCACCAAACATAGATTTTTAAAAAATATTTTTTCGAAATATCTCCAAACGTGGATTTTTTAAAAAAATATTTTTTCGAAATATCACCAAACGTGGATTTTTTAAGAAATATTTTTTCAAAATATCACCAAACGTGGATTTTTTAAAAAATATTTTTTCAAAATATCACCAAACGTGGATTTTTTAAAAATTATTTTTTCGAAATATCACCAAACGTGGATTTTTTAAAAAATATTTTTTCAAAGCATCACCAAACGTGGATTTAAAAAAAATATTTTTTTAAAGCATCACCAAACGTGGATTTAAAAATAAAAAAAAATAAAAAAAATATTTTTCTAAAATATCAACAATCAAGGATTTTTAAAAATATTTTTTCAAAATATCAACAATCAAGGATTTTTAAAAATATTTTTTCAAAATATCAATAAAAGTGGACTTTTTGAAAGATATTTTTTCAAAATATCAACAATCAAGGATTTTTCGAAAAATATTTTTTCAAAATATCAATAAACGTGGACTTCTTAAAAAATATTTTTTCAAAACATCAACAAACGTGGACTTTTTAAAAAATATCTTCTCAAACATGGACTTTTTAAAAAATATTTTTTCAAAATTTCAACAACCGTGGACTTTTTATAAAATATTTTTTTTCGAAGTTTCAACAGGTATGAATTTTTAAGAATATAAGTTCGAAGTATCAACTAACGTGTATTAATTAAAAAAAAAATTTTTTTTTGAACTATCACCAAACCTGGATTTTTTAAAAAAATATTTTTTCAAAGCATCATTAAACGTGGATTTTTAAGAAATATTTTTTTTCAAAGCACCAAACGTGGATTTTTTAAAAAATAATTTTTCGAAATATCACCAAACGCGGATTTTTTAAAAAATATTTTTTTCGAAATATCACCGAACGTGGATTTTTTTAAAAAAATTCAAAGTATCACCAAGCTTGAATTTTTTTTATGAAAAAATATTTTTTTTAAAAATCCACGTTTGTTGGTTTTATGAAAAACATTTTTTTAAATATCCACGTTTGTTGATTTTATGAAAACATATTTTTTAAAAAATCCACATTTGTTGATATTTCAAAATAATGTTTTAAAAAAATTCTACGTTTGTTGAGACATTAAAAAAATATTTTTCGAAAAATCCTTGTTTGTTTGTACTTTCAAAAAATATTTTGAAAAAAATCCTAAAGCTTCTCCTAAATACTTCGAAAAAATATTTTTTATAAGAATATCACCAAACATGGATTTTTTAAAAAATATTTTTTTCGAAATATCACCAAACGTGGATTTTTTAAAAAATATTTTTTTCGAAATATCACCAAACGTGGATTTTTTAAAGAATATTTTTTCGAAATATCACCAAACGTGGATTTTTTAAAAAATATTTTTTCGAAATATCACCAAACGTGGATTTTTTTTAAAAATATTTTTTCAAAGAACAAACAATCAAGGATTATTCAAAACATATTTTTTCGAATTATCAACAAACTTGGATTATTTTAAAAAATATTTTTTTGATGCATCAACAGACGTGGATTTTTTAAAAAAATATTTTTTTGAAACCCCAGCAAACGTGGATTCTTATCAAAAAAAAAATATTTTTTCGAAACCCCAACAAACGTGGATTCTTTTTAAAAAATATTTTTTCCAAATCTCAACAAACGTGGATTTTTTAAAAATATATTTTTTCGAAATATCAAGAACCGTGGACTATTTAAAAAATATTTTTTCGAAATATCAACAAACTTGGAGTATTTAAAACAGATTTTTTTTAAATATCAACAAACGTGGATTTTATAAAAAAAAATATTTTTTCCAAGTATCATCAAACGTGGATTTTTTTAAAAATATTTTTTATCGAGGCAACAACAGACGTGGATTTTTTAAAAAATGTTTTTAACGGATTTTGTAAAATATATTTTCGATCTAGGTTTGATAATAATATTAAGATGTATAAAGTTTGGAGCAAATCGGATTCTCCCTTCGAGAAATATCGTGCTAGACAGCCAGCCAGACAGATTTACTCCAGACTCCAAAGAGACCGAAAACCCCGTTATTTCGCTGAGGCACATTTTGGACGTTTCAAATGATGTATACCCTCTGTAGCCATATGGATGAGGGTATAAAAATCCCAAGACTTATCTGACACCTTCGGACCAAAAGTGACCCTCAGCCAAAAATTTCATGATTCTATCCAAAAATTTCAAGTCAGGGCGTAAGTCACTCAATCAGTCAGGTAAATATTTAGACATAGACTATGGGTCTAAAACCACTTTTTCGGGGTCTTACAACCTTTTTGGCCCAATCAAACCTATAGTGTTTGTGGGTTATAAAAAAATATTGTTTTCCCCAATTATTTCCATTTTCCATTAATTTTCCTTTTTCACATCCAGAAAATTTGCCTTAGTTACTTTTTGTTTAAGTTGCACAACTTTCCTTCTAAGCCCTTAACATTTTGATGGTTTTATTTTAAGCTTTTTTTCTCTCCTCTCTCTCGCACACACATATACACCTACCCATACATTTATCCGCTTAGTAATGACCAAAAGCGTTAAGCGAACAAGCGCCATGTTGATCTGTTAAAAAACTGGAAAGTTTGCTGCAGCTATTTTCACTCTCAAAAAAAAAAAAAAAAAAAAAAAAAACAAGTTCAACAAAGCATCCGGCTATGAGCGACACCACCACCACAGGCCTTATGGTGGCTAGCTGTTCGTTTTTCCTGCCATGGCAACAGTGGCCGCCTTTAATCCTGACTATCTTAAATAACGATGACGGAGGAAAAAATAGGTTTTCAAACTACAAACAAACGGATTTAATGGCACTACATAAATATTAGCAGCCATATGGCCTTGCGTGGCCAAGAAATATAAATGTGTGTGTGTGTATGTGTGTGTGCATATCCATGTGTGACCATTAGATTATTGGTAATAAATAGACTCACCTTTGATAAAATCAACAGCCATTTCCAGCCCATAAGTATCCTTATCGCAATCATCCAAAATGTGGGCGCCCAACGTGATGTTCGGCAGCAATTGTTGTTGGTTAACACGATCCAGTGTATAGAGCATGGCTTCCAGGGCCTGTATGCCACCCTGGGGCATAATGGGACCACAGGTAATGCTATCCTCGCGTGAGTGGACCATCATTAGACCGCCCAGTATTACATCGCCCTCCATGACCGAGGCATGTTTGACGGGCCAGGTCGAGGCGGGGGTGGTGGTGGGTAACATGGTGGTTGTCATGGAGCCTGTGTGGCTTGGCATTGTAGAAATGCCACCGGAGAGAGAAATGGAGCCGGAGAGAGAGGGGGTATTGGAAAATGCATTGAGTATCCTTGGATATGTCGTGGTGGAGAACATGGGCATTAGGGTGGGGGTTATTGTCGATAGCAGCCAGGATGTAATATCCTGCATTGTTAGGTTACCGGGAGGTGGGGTAATGAAGGAATCATCGATGCTTAATTTCATAGTAGATAAATTATCCGAAAATGTTGTTGCCTCTTCGTTTTCTTCCCCGGCCAGATTATGGGTTATTGTTGGAGAATTCGGAATTGTTGTTGTATTTTCAATAAATTTTGTTTTATTACTTATTAGCGGTAATTTGTTGACCACTATTGGCCCAGAAGTGGGAAGCGGAGGGGGTGGTGCCATGGAGCTGTTTTTGCCAGCAACTAAAGGAGGAGCCATGGTGCTGTTTTTGTCAGCAACTAAAGGAGCAGCAGGAGAGGGTGAGGAAATTGTTGAAGTGTTGATTTTTCCACTTGAATTTGTTGGAAAAGTTAATAGTTTTTCCCCATGCTTTTCATTGGCAAATTTTTTTCGGGTATCCTTGAAAATATCCATTGTGGCCAGGGTGGGGCGAAGATTTTTACTGTTTTCCATGTTTTTCCTGATTAATGAAGAGTTAAATTTTAATGTGTCCATTGTTGTTTTTGTTGCTGCTACTGCTGCTGCCACTGATGAGTTGGCAAAATTCTCCGAGTTATTAATGCGAAGGCCATTGTTTAAAAAATTATTTTCATTTTCAATTTGATTTGGAAAATTCGTAGCCAGCCATGTGGAATTGTCGATAATGGTGGCAGAAGAAGTTATCTGATTGCGTAGGGAATTTTCATTGGCTTGAGGAAAATTCACTGGGAAATGCAATTCGGGGAGCATTTTTTCGGTGGTAGATTTTGTTTCAGTGGAATTTTCCAAGGGAAACTTTATTTTACTGGAATTTTCCAAAGGCATTTGAACTTCACTGGGACGTCTAAGATTCGATTTTTCCGATTTGGAATTTTTCAGGAAATTGGAAAATTCGGAAAAATTATTTTTATTGCCGTCAGATTTTATTTCTGACGAATTTCCCGAGACCAATTTTATTTCACTGGAATTTTCCAAGGGCAATTGGATTTCTTTGGCATTTTTCAGAGGAAATTTTCCGGCATTCGAATTTTCCAAGGAATTGAAAAATTTGGTCAAATTATTTTCATCGGCAGTGGTGGAATTTTTTTCACTTCGAGAAGGGTCCTGAGGACTGATTTGGTCACCCAAATTTGTGGTTGGAGGGGAAGCCATTTTTTTGCTGGATTTATTCTCCAAACGTTTGTTTCGTTGAAAAAATTCAAATTTATTTGGATTTTCCTCGAAATTTGGATTCCGGTTTTCATTATCCTTATCCTTTTTATTATCCTTGTGATAATCCTTGGGATTTTTGCGGAGGGAATCTATTGATTTTTTATTCGAATCACCTTCCAAATCCTTGTTATTTTGAAATATTTCCAAGTCTTTGGAAATCTCTGTAGAAATCAAGGATATATTTTCATTATCCTTAACGGTGTCCTGGTGGGAATCCTTGGGATTTTTGTGGAGGGCAGATACTGATTTTTTATTCGATTTGCCTTCCAAATTCTTGCTATTTGGAAATCTCTCAAAGCCATTGGAAATCTCTGTAGAAATCGAGGATATATTTTCATTATCCTTAACGGTGTCCTGGTGGGAATTCTTGGGATTTTTGTGGAGGGCAGATACTGATTTTTTATTCGAATCATTGTTATTTTGAAATATCTCAAATTCATTGGAAATCTCTGAAAAATTCAAGGATATAGGCTTTTCATTATCCTTAGCGGTGTCCTTGTGGGAGTCCCTGGGATTTTTGTGGAGGTGAGATATTGATTTTTTATTCGCATCTTCCTTCAAATCCTTGCTATTTTGTGATCTCTCAAAGTCTTTAGAAATTTCTGTGGAATTCAGGGACATATTTTCATTATCCTTAACTGTGTCCTTGTGTGAATCCCTGGGATTTTTGTGGAGGTGAGATATTGATTTTTTAATCGCATCGCCTTTCAAATACATGTTGTTTTGAAATCTCTGAAAGCCATTAGAATTTTCTGCAGAATTCAAGGATAAATTTTCATTATCCTTAACGGTGTCCTTGTGGGAATCCTTGAAATTGTTGTGGAGGAAAGATATTGATTTTTTATTCGAATCATTGTTATTTTCAAATCTCTCAAATTCATTGGAAATTTCTGTAAAATTCAAGGACATAAGCTTTTCATTATCCTTAACGGTGTCCTTGTGTGAATCCCTGGGATTTTTGTGGAAGGAAGATATTGATTTTTTATTCGGATTGCCTTCCAAATTCTTGTTATTTTGAAATCTGTGAAAGCCATTAGAATTTTTTGTAAAATTCAAGGATATAAGCTTTTCATTATCCTTAACTGTGTCCTTGTGGGAGTCCCTGGGATTTTTGGGAAGGGAAGATTTTGTGTTTTTATTCGAATCCTTGTTATTTTGAAATATCTCAAAGTCATCAGGCACTTCTTTAAGATTAAAGGGTACAAGCTTTTCATTATCCTTAACGGTGTCCTTGTGGGAGTCCCTGGGATTTTTGTGGAGGTGAGGTATTGATTTTTTATTCGCATCGCCTTTCAAATCCATGTTGTTTTGAAATCTCTGAAAGCCATTAGAAATGTCTGCAGAATCCAAGGATATAAGCTTTTCATTATCCTTAGCGGTGTCCTTGTGGGAATCCCTGGGATTTTTGTGGAGGTGAGATATTGATTTTTTAATCGCATCTTCCTTCAAATCCTTGTTATTTTGCGATCTCTCAAAGTCTTTGGAAATTTCTGGGGAATTCAGGGACATATTTTCATTATCCTTAACGGTGTCCTTGTGGGAATCCTTGGGATTTTTGTGGAGGGAAGAAATTGATTTTTTAATCGCATCGCCTTCAAAGTTTTTATTATTTTCAAATCTCTCAAAGCCGTTGGGAATTTCTGTTGAATTCAAGGATATAAGGCTTTCATTATCCTTTCTAATATCCTGGTGCATAGTTTTGCTACTTGGATGTTCGGAGGTTGAAGTCTTTAATATTCGGTTTTTATTGGAATTTTCCTCCAGATTCTTCCTCTTTTGATATCCTTCAAAGTCACTAGAAATTTCTGGGACATTCAGGGATATACTTTCATTATCCTTGCTAATATCCTGTTGCCTAATTTTGCTCCTAAGATATCCAGAGGCTGGAGCAATAGAATTTGTGATCAAATTGCCGTCCCGTCTTAGGGTTCCTTGATTGCCTTCAAATTCATTTGAAATTTCCATTAAATTCTGAGCATCACTTCTGGAATCTTTAGGCGTATCCTTGTGGCCATCTGCAATTTCCACAAATTTTTTGATTTCAATTTCATTTTTCTTTAAATTTTTCTTGGCGTCAATATTATCGCCGAGAATTTTATTACCTGAACTATGTAGATTTCCTCTAAAATTCCGCTCCAAATTTTCCTCCTCAGCATCCTTTGGAAATTCTGTAAAATTTTGAAAAACCTTCATTCGATTTTCCATTTGTTTTTCTTTTGATTGAAAATTTTCCAACTCTTTTTCCATTTGATTTTCTTGGGTCTTCAAAATGTCCAAATCCTTGAGGAGACTTTCGAATTCCTGTGCAGCCAATGAGCTGGGGTCTTCATATCCATTTGAGAGCCTCCGATTTTCTGCCGATAAAATTTCCTCAGGCAATGTCTTCCTTTTGCCCTTAGTTTTGAAATCTTGAATTATTTGCAAATTAAAATTTCTTTTTGAAATTTCCTTTGGATTGTTTGAATTTTTTGTGTCAATATTTTCCGTCTCCTCTTTCGTAACAAATTTCTGTGGACTCTCTTCAATAATTTTTGGTAAATTGAGAATTTTCTCAGTTTCATCTCTCCTGAAAAGATTATTTTTAGGGTCATTTTCTTTTAAAATCGCACCCTGTCCACTTTTCTCAGTTCTCTCAGTCTTTGAAGAGAGCTTCACATTATTTTTGTTCCTTATTTTTTCCGGTTTGAATTCTGGGTTCTCTTCTCTCATCGCTGTACTCACAGCCTCTTCATTGCTCTGATCGACGTCTCTCGTTGCTGGGAATTCATTTTGCTGTGGAATATTCAAACGATCACTTTTGAGTTTAGAACTCTCTTCACTTCTCTCAGAACAATTTTCTGCCTTTTCATGGTGAACTCTGCTCTTAATCTCGTTTCTCCCTACGGTACTCTCTATAATCGATTTTTCTTCATTTCCCTTATGAGTGTTACCATTTTCTCTGCTGGATTCTCTATTAGCTCTCTTTACTATCTCGGCATTTCCAAGACGTTCTCTCTCCACCTTATTAATAACGTTCTCCCCTTTCTCTTTACTATTCTCTCTTTTGCTCTCACTGATCTCTTTCGTCTTCTCTGTAGAAAATTCTTCAATATCAGAATTTATAGCCTCTTCCTTTTCTTGAAAAATGCTCTCGGGAACCTTTCGCCCAGATCCGCCTGTTTGAATTCTCTTCAAGGCCATATGGTGAGCCATTCGAGGTCGAGTGACTTTTTTCTGGTCTTCCTTTAGGATCTCATCTTCAATTATTTCTTGATTTGTTGCCTCAGCATCTTCTGTTCTCTGTCCCTTTTTCTCTCTGGAAATCGCCATAATCAGCTGGGTATTCATAGGATATTTTCGCTCAACTTCTCCGGTGAGAATATTAGCTTTACTCTCTTCACTGTTGCCATTTGACCCTTTACTCTCCACTGCAGAAATGTCTCCTGCATCAGAGGTAAGTTTAATTTTTTCTTCTTGCGAAAATTTCTTGGGAACATCGAGCCCTACACCGGCATTTTGAATGTCCTTCATGTCCACATCGTCCACTATTCGAGGTTGATGGTCTTCCTTGAAACTCTGATCTCTAAATGCATCAACTTTTGCTATATCGGTGTCTAAAGGTTTCTGTTTCTCTTGCTCTCCTGAGTCCTGGCTGGGGTCTTTGTTTCTCGGGGACCTCCTACTCTCTTCTAATATTGTGGTTGGTCTCTCCTCCCCATCGACCAAAACTTTGGAATCTTCTGCTCTCTCAGCCTTCGAATTCGTTACTTCAACTTTGAGAGAATTTTCCATGGTTCTCTCTGGCATTTGTTCTCCATTAGTTGCTCTCATTTTATTGAGATCCATAGATGAACTTTTAGGAGACTTTCTCTCTCCCTCTCTTTTTAAAATTTGAGGGGAATTTGTGTCTGCTTCATGTGAGTCTGGGTGTTTCCTTTCATTGCCCAAAAACATTGTTTTTTGTCCTCTCTGAGACTCCAGATCTGTATGGCGATTTAATTTCAACCTTTCCGACTCTCCAAATTTGGGCGGGTTCCTAGTGATATTCACAGGCATTTGCTGCGGATTATTTTCCTTTCCTCTGTTGAGATTTAAAGACGAAAGTTGGAATGTTTGTTGCTCTCTTTCTCTCTTGGCTTCGCGAAATGCATTTTCGTTTTCCGTTTTGGGAATTTTGGGATCGGGAGAGTTTTGACTGAGTTCTCCATTGGTTTTGGAGTCCCTACTCTCCCCCGATATTGAGAGATGACGCTGCTTCCTATTGACCCCAAAATTGGCCTGATTTTCAGATTTTCTTTCCTCTCCTTCGTCCTCTGAACTAAAATTTCCACATCCTTCCCCATTAGGCTGACATTTGCTCTGATTCTCTTCAGATTTTTGTTTAACTGCATCCGGGTGATTTTTCCAATTTTTTAGGGATTCAAATTCCGCCTCCTTGCCCCCGACGAGAGAGTTTTGACTGAGTTCTTCATTGTCTAGGGAGTCCTTACTCTCCCCTGAGAGTGTGAGACGACTCTGCTTCCCATTGACCCCAAAAATGGCTTGATTTTCGGATTTCCTTTCCTCTCCAGTGTCCCCCTCACTTGAACTCCCACATCCCTCTCCATTAGGCTGACATTTGCTGTGACTTTCTTCAGATTCTTGATTAACTACATCCAGGTGATTTTTCCAATTTTTTAAGGATTTAAATTCCGCCTCCTTTCCCTGACTCTCTTCAGATTTTTGCTTCACTGCATCCGGGTGATTTTTCGAATTTTTCAAGGATTTTAATTCCACCTCCTTGCTCCCGATTTTTTCCTCCTGTTGCAACATTTTTTCCGTCTCCTTTCCCTGACTCCCTTCAGATTTTTGCTTAACTGCATCCGGGTAATTTTTCCAATTTTTTAAGGATTTAAATTCCGCCTCCTTGCCCCTAAATTTTTGCTCCTCTGGCGACATTTTTTCCTCTCTAATTCCAGTTGAGAAATTATCCTTTTCTTCCTCACTTTCTTTGAAAAATAATTTTCCATTTTCCTTGTCCCGCATATCCTTGCTATTTTTATTAACTAATCCTTTATTTGTTGACTGCCCTCCCCATGGTGTTGCCGTATTTTTTACAGCTTCTCCATTATTAATTAAATTATCCTTTAAAGGATTTAATTGCAATGTTGTTGTCTTCTCTAAAGGATTAAAAGTAACTTTTGTCTCGTCTGGTTTGTTAAAAACTTTGGCCGGGTGGCCTTGTTGAACATTTTGCAAGTCGATGGTATTCTGAGACGAATTTCCCGCCTCCATGAGAGGGGAGGCCAGGATGTTACTTGGTGGATTTTTTCCGGAGGTGCCCAGGGGAAAACTGTTGTTCTCAGTTTTTGCTTTTTGCTCCTGAAAGGGATTTTTCTTGCTGTGGACCTCCTCATTTATTTTCGGATGATTTTCAGGTATTACTTCCTCCAAGGATAATAAAACTTGTTGTGCTCTCCTGGCCCTGTCTCCTGCTTGCGGAATTTTGTTCATGTCCTTCGTAAAATTTTCCAAATTTTCCATGGAATTACCCAAATTTCCCAATGTCTTCGTTGGGGATGCCATTAAATTATAACCCCTCATCGGGGAGATATTTTTTGCATCCTTACTCCCCTCCCCCTTCTTCTGAGCATCAGCAAATTTTTTCCGCATTTGCTTTGAGACATCCAACCCCAGACCTGCCACAGAAGAAATCGCCCGCATTGTCATCCATTGTTGACTATTGTCACTGTTTTGTTGATTTTCCACTAGGATTTCCTTGGATAAATTGTCTTGATTCTCTTCCGCCATGACTGCTGCTGCTGCAGGTAAGTGCCCCGGAATGCCAGCGCCTTTGTGGCCTTGCTTTGATGCATTTTCTTTGGCAACATTTGTAATTGTTGGCCGGTTGGCTTGGAATGCTGTTGCTGACATTGCACTCTCATTTTGTTCGCCACTCAAGGAGAGTCCTCGAAGAGAGCTAGGCGGGTAGAGGGGATGCTTGTTGACATAAGTTTTGCCAGCCATGTCCTTAACAATGTTTTTATCCGCCCGGCTGGTACTTGAGTTAAACCAGCCATGACTGATGCCACTAACACCACCACTGCTGCTGATGCTGGTGGTGGTCAGAACACCAGTTACCTCACCCCTACCCATGTCTGCAGTTTTACTCCCAGTACCATTGTTTTTGCTGCTACTGCTGTTGTTGTCAGCTTGATTTGTTGTTTCTTGTAATTGTAAACGTAAATTCTCTTTTATTACATTTACATTTGCTCCATGATGCTGATGTGGAGGAGATGACTCTCTCGCATAAGGGAGAGTAGAATTGCCAGAGCTATTGTTGGCTTGTAAATTCGTTGCTGTTGCTTGTCCTGCCACACCCGTTGACCAAATATATGGTGTTAACCATATTAATAGAATAATTTGTAAACTTAATTGTTGTAGCTGCTGTCGTCTTTGTCGTTGTTGTTGCCCCTGGCTGGAGCAACCCAACTGCCTTAGCAGTTTACAAGGTTTTCTCGTTTTGTGTTTGTGTTTCATATTAATTCCTCCACAGGGGTTACCTGGTGGTTTTGTGGCCAACTTATTTAGTTTTAGTTATTTTTGGACGAAGTACAAAATTGATGGCGGAATTTTTCTAATTTTCGTTTGTCTATTTAAATGTCAGCATAATTTTATATCCTCCTCCATGACATTTTAAAAAAGGGGAACTTAAGTATGGAATTTATGACATCGCGGATTTCTCTCTTGGATTTTGGACGAGGAGTGTTTTGCTGAAAGGAGAAAAAGAAAAGAGATATGTGAAAATAATATTCCTTTTTCAAAAAAAAAAAAAAAAAAAAAAAAAAAAAATTAAAATAAAATAAAATAAAAAAATAAATAAAAAAAATAACAAGAAAATAAAATAAAAAAATACATAATCAGAAAATAATTAATTAAAAGTTAAAACAAGTTAAAAAAAATAAATAAAAAATAAAAAAATTAAATAATAAAAAATACAAAAACAGAAAATTATTAATTAATAAAAAGTAATAAAAATAAAAAATAACATAACAATAATATTCTTTCTCCACAAAAAAAAAAAAAACAAATAAAAAAATTAAAAAAAAAACATAAAAAAATTAAATAAAAAAAAATAGAAAAACAGAAAATAATTAATAATTAAAAAAAGTAATATAAACAAAAAATAACATAACAATAATATTCTTTTTTTCCAAAAAAAAAAAAAAACAAAAAACAAATAAAAAATAAAAAAACATAAATAAATAAAAAAATACAAAAACATAAAATAAATTAATTAATAAAAAGTAATAAAATAAAAAATAACATAACAACAATGTACTTTTTTCACAAAAAAAAAATAAAAATAAATATATAAAAATAATACAAATACAAAAACAGAAAATAAAATAATTAATAAAAAGTAATAAAAAAATAACAGTCCTACAACTCGTTAAAAATTTTTTTTAGGAATTTCGAACATTCCACCTCTCTCTCTATCTCTATCTAAAAAAATTTTCAAAAAAAAATAAATAAATAAAATACAAAAACAGAAAAAAATTAATTAATAAAAAGTAATAAAAATAAAAAATAACATAACAATAATATTTTTTTTTTTCAAAAAAAAAAAAAAAAAAAAAAAAACAAATAAGAAATAAATAAAAAATAAAATAAATACAGAAACAGAAAATAATTAATTAATAAAAAGTAATAAAAATAAAAATAACATAACAATAATATTCTTTTTTCACAAAAAAAAACAAATAAAAAATAAAAAAAAATAAAAAAAACATAAAAAAAATTAAATAAAAAAATACAAAAACAGAAAATAATTAATTAATAAAAAGTAATATAAACAAAAAATAACATAACAATAATATTCTTTTTTCAAAAAAAAAAAAATAAATAAATAAATAAATAAAAAAAATAAAACAATTTAAATAAAAAAAAAATACAAAAAACACAAAATAATTAATTAATAAAAAGTAATAGAAATAAAAAATAACATAACAATAATATTCTTTTTTCACAAAAAAAATTAAAAATAAATAAAAAATAAAACAAGTAAAAAAATAAAATAAAAATACAAAAACAGAAAATAATTAAATAATTAAAAGTAATAAAAATAAAAATAACATAACAATAGTATTCTTGTTTCAAAAAAAAAAAAAAAAAAAAAAACAAAAATAAAAAATAAAAAAAATACAAATACAAAAACAGAAAATAAAATAATTAATAAAAAGTAATAAAAAAATAACAGTCCTACAACTCGTTAAAAATACTTTTTTAGGAATTTCATACATTCCACCTCTCTCTCTTTCCCTATCCAAAAAAAAAAGAAAAAAAAGAACTTTGAATACCCTCCATCAATTGGTACAAATTTGGCAATTTTCAAAAAAAAAAAAAATAAATAAATAAATAAATAAATAAAATAAAATAAAAAAATACAAAAACAGAAAACAATTAATTAATAAAAAGTAATAAAAATAAAAAATAACATAACAATAATATTTTTTTTTTTTCAAAAAAAAAAACAAATAAAAAATAAAAAAAATAAATAATAAATAAGAAACAAAAAAAATAAAATAAAAAAAATACAGAAACAGAAAATAATTAATTAATAAAAAGTAATAAAAATAAAAATAACATAATAATATTCTTTTTCCAAAAAAAAAAAATAAATAAATAAATAAAATAAAATAAAAAAAATACAAAAACAGAAAATAATTAATTAATAAAAAGTAATAAAAATAAAAAATAACATAACAATAATATTCTTTTTTCAAAAAAAAAAAAAAAAAAAAAAAAAAAACAACGAAAAAAGAAAAAAAAAATAAACAAACAATAAACAAAAACAGAAAATAATTAATTAATAAGAGTAATAAAAATAAAAAATAACATAACAATAATATTCTGTTTTCAAAAAAAAAAAAAAATAATAATAATAATAAATAAAATAAAATAAATACAAACACAGAAAATAATTAATTAATAAAAAGTAATAAAAATAAAAAATAACATAACTATAATATTCTTTTTTTCAAACAAAAAAAAATTAAATAAAAAATACAAAAACGGAAAATAATTAATAAATAAAAAGTAATAAAAATAAAAAATAACATAACAACAATATTCTTTTTTCAAAAAAAAAAAAAATAAATATATAAATAAATAAATAAAAATAAAAAAAAAATAAAATAAAATAAAAATAAAAAAATACAAAAACAGAAAATAAATTAATTAATAAAAAATAAAAAACCATTCATACAACTCGTTAAAAAATCATTTTTTAGGAATTTCATACATTACGCTTCTCTCTCTATCTCTCAAAAAAAAAAAAAATAAAATAAAATAAATTAAATTAAAAACAAGTAAAAAAGCCGTAAGTTCGGTTGGGCCGAACTTTGAATAACCTCCACCATTTGGTACAAATTTTGGCAATTTTCAAAAAAAAAAAATAATAATAATAATAAAATCCGCTTAAAATTCTGTTGAAATCTTAAAAATACACCTCTCTCTCTATCTCTCACAAAAAAAAAAAAAAATAAATAAATAAAAAAGCTATAAGTTCGACAGGGTCGAACTTTGAATACCCTCCACCATTTAGTACAAATTTTGGCAATTTTCAAAAAAATAAAATCTGGAAAAAATTCTGTTAAAATCTTAAAAATACAGAATCTAGCCGTATATTAAACGACGACGTGGGCCTGCATAGGCAAGTCTTGTCATAAGACAAATGCGAAACTTGAAAGAAAAAAAAATCGGTGAATAATGTGGCTAAAATCATCAATATTGGGAGGTATTGTTATATGAGGGTTATACCAAAATGTGGACCTGCACAGACAAGTTTCTGCCTGAGGCTGTAGTATCCACTATGAACTTCTTATATCAAATTTTAAACAATTCCAGTGAACAATGTCGATTAAATCGACAAAATATCGAATATCGGGAGGTACCGTTATATGGGGGCTATACGAACAATTTTCTCTCTTAGGCTGTAGTAACCATTACAAATTGAAATGTATTGAAATTAATGTCGATAAAATCAACAAAGTACCGAATATAGGGAGGTACCGATATATGGAGGCTATACGAAGACGTGGACCTACACAGACAATTTTCTGTCAGAGTCTGTAAAATCCTTTACGAACTTCAAATACCAAATTAGAAAAAATTCCGCTGAATAATGTCTCTAAAATCAACAAAATACCGAATATCGGTAGGTACTGTTATATGGGGGCTATACGAAGACGTGAACCTGCACTGACACTTTTCTGCCATAGGCTGTGGTATCTATTTTGAACTTCAAGTACCAAATTTTAAACAATTCCGGTGAATAATGTCGCCAAAATCAACAAAATACCGAATATCGGGAGGTATAGGGGCTATACACAAAACGTGGGCCTACATGGCCCATTTTCAATACCAAAAGTCCTGGAGACATAATACACATTTGAGTAAAATTTTATCATTTTTATGATTTCCACAGACGGACGGGTCTAAAATATATATTTTGAGGTGTTACAAACGGAATGACAAATTTAATATACCCTCCGCACTATGGTGTAGGATATATTCGATTTTCAGATCTCCGGTTGGGAGAAATGTTTTTATATACCAAATTTGAAAATTAACGCTGACTTGGTTCGCAAGTTATGAGAGATATAAATATTGAATAATGCAACACTTTGTGGGTAAGGTACCAGAAGGGTTGGCCTAAAATATCCCATTTTCGCACTAGATTTTACGTTAGTAGAAACATTGGAATGTGAGAAATTCAAAGAGAATCCGTAGCTTATTTCTCATTTTATGAGAGCCATAATAATTCAAAATTTGGGTCCCTTTGTAGGGAGGTACCAGAGGTAATAGTCCGATATATTCCATCTTCATAGCAGATCTTGTGTTAGTAGAAATTTTTAAGAGAATCCGAGCCTTATTTCCCAATTTATGAGAGTTATAATTATTCAAAGTTTTGTCTCTATTCCCTCTTCATAGCAGATTTTGTGTTGATAGAAATATTGGGCTCTTCCGAATCTGAAAGGAATCGGATGTTCATTTCGTGTTTTATGAACTTCATGATTTTTCAAATTGTTGACCCCTTTGTGGAGGTGAGATACCAGAAGGAGTGGTCTGATATATTTCATATTCAGCGCAGATCTTGTTTTGATAGAAATATTGGGATGTGTGAAATCTAAAGAGAAACGGATACTTACTTCGCAATATATGAGCGTTTTGGTTATTCATAATTTTAACCCTTTACTAGTCAGCACACTAGTCAGCCAGACTGATGGACGGATATCTCCAGATCGACTTTAAATGTCCAGAAACGGTTTTGGTTCAAAGAGACCTAGGGTCTAAAACTATTATTTCGATAAGGTAAGTTTTGTCCCTATCAAATGGTATATACCCTCCGTAGCCATATGGCTGAGTGTATAGAATATATTCTTAAAACGAGTAAAAAATTAGCTAAGTTCGGCCGGGCCGAACTTTTCATAGCCTCCGCCATTTTGAAGACATTTGAAAATTTTCAAAAAAAAAAA